GACCGTCATCAGTAGTTCATGTGTCTGATTATCGGCTCCATGCCCCAAGTCCCTAGCTGCTAGACGGTGAACATAGCCCAACCACGTGGCTGACGAAGGTAAAGCTTGCACACAAAGCCTGGCAACACAGCCACTTGCCCCAAGGAGGAGGTTCGAGCTCTGGTAGGGGTTAACCGCATACAGGAAACAGGAGCGTGGATCTTGGACAAAACGAACAGCATGGATAAAGGCAGAGCAGTGAGACGCTCCTCTCCAGGGACAAGGTGCCTCTGTGGAAGCTGCAGCACCCTACTTTGGGCCCCCGGGCAGCACACCACCTCACACAGGTGAGATGCCACTGGAAAGAGGACCAGCAAACAAGGGATGTGCCCCAGGCCCAGTCTCATAGAGAATGTCAAAAACATCCGTAATTGAGCCGGCGCGATGGCGCAGTGGTTAAGGTCCTCGCCTTCAACATGCCGGGATCCCGGTAGCTCCACTTCCCATCCAGCTCCCTGCTTGTGGCCTGGGAAAGCAGTCCCAAAGACTTGGGACTCTGCACCCGTGTGGGAGACCTGGAAAGAAATTCCTGGATCCTGGCTTCGGATCGGCATAGCATCGGCCATTGCGCTCACTTGGGGAGTGAATCATCAGACGGAAGATCTTCTCTGTCTTTCCTCCTCTCTCTACATCCGCCTTTCCAATAAAATAAATCTTAAAAACAACAAACAAAAAAATACCCATTAATTAAGATGTAATTATTTTACTAATTATTTTACGAATGTTTTAATCCAGCACTTTAAAAAAATGAGTGAATACACAAAATCTATGATGAACAGTATATCAGGGTTTTGAGTAAAGGCAAGGTCAGTGTTACCGATTTTATTCTTCTGTCATGTGTGTGATTAACACAACAAAGAGACCACTTTGGGGGCAGGCTAGGAGAGGGTAATTCCGAGAGCAGGAAATAGGCTCAGGTTAGATTTGCACTGTCCAGTTCAGCAGCTGGCAGCCGTCTGAGGCTTTTCAGCTAGCAAAACGCAACAAGAGGAAGTACACTCTTCATTGCATTCCTTCTCAGTCAATTTAGCTTTTAAAATTGATACCCAGTCCAGTGGTTGGAAAACTTAAGTATATTTGGAACAACTTCAGTAGGTGAATTTATTTTTCCAACTGCACATTTTAGGAACTCTGAATAAGGATCAAATATGTTCCATGAATATTTAATATTCAAATTGCAATATGCAATGAAACACAGGGATTCAAAACCTTAGCATGAATGAAAATACATAAAATATCTAATTTTCTCATAATTTCACGGGCCCGGTGTGGTGGCCTAGCGGCTAAAGTCCTCGCCTTGAATGCGCAGGGATCCCATATGGTTGCCGGTTCTTATCCCGGCAGCTCCACTTCCCAACCAGCTCCCTGCTTGTAGCCTGGGAAAGCAGTCGAGGACGGCCCAAAGCTTTGGGACCCCGCACCCATGTGGGAGACCTGGAGAAGCTCCTGACTCCCAGTTTCAGACCAGTGCAGCACTGGCCGTTATGCTCACTTGGGAAGTGAATCATCGGACAGATCTTCCTCTCTGTCTCTCCTCCTCTCTGTATATCTGATTTTGCAATAAAAATAAATAAATATTTAAAAATATGAATAATTTAATAGGAATATTGAATCCATGTGAAAAGGATACTATCCAAACAATTTGGATTAAATTAAATAAGTTACTGAAGTTAAATTCACCTGACAACTTGTTTTTTTTTTTTTCAGATTTATTTATTTTTATTACAAAGTCAGATATACAGAGAGGAGGAGAGACAGAGAGGAAGATCTTCCGTCCGATGATTTCATTCCCCAAGTTAGCGCAACGGCCGATGCTGTGCCGATCCGAAGCCAGAAACCAGAAACCTCCTCCGGGTCTCCCACATGGGTGCAGGGTCCCAAAGCTTTGGGCCGTCCTCGACTGCTTTTCCAGGCCACAAGCGGGGAGCTAGATGGGAAGCGGGGCTGCCAGGATTAGAACCGGCCCATATGGGATCCTGGCGAATTCAAGGCGAGGACTTTAGCCCTTAGGCCACGCTGCTGGGCCCACAACTTGTTTTTAAAAGATTGATTTATTTGTGAAGTGAGAGTTACAGAAAGATGGAGAGAGCGAGGGAAATGACCATGGCCAGCCAGCAGTGGGCCAGCCAAAGCCAGGAGCGGCAGGGTCTCACCTCCCTCCTGTTCTGATTGACAAAACTGCAGTGTCCATCCTGCCCAAGGCCTGGACACCTTAGTGGTAAGCAGAGGAAACGGTCAGCTGTGGGAAGCGGGCCTGGGGCAGGGAGGATGCTCTGGGTTCCATGGTTGAGGGTCAAGGAGGTTTCAAGATCAGAGAAGGCCAGTCAAGAGGGACAAGTGAAAGCAAGGGTGAAGATTGCAGGCTTGACCCAGCAAAATCCATGCAGAGAAAGGGCTCGTGGGAGAAGCAGGTGCGACTGCCTGAGTGCTCATCCTGGGCCTTAGTCACCCTGAGAGTGAGCTGAGGCCGCGCCACCCAGGGGCGAGACACTTCCTGTGCCAACCAAGGTCCCCTTGTGGGCCCTGTGGTCGCTGGGTTCCCTGTCAATGAACTCAGAATTGCAGTTCCTGTTGTTCAGACCTGCCCTTGCTATGGCTTTGTCAACCAAGGAATCGAAACTCTGAGTGACCTACGGCCCACGGGGATGCCATGCGTTCTGTGTCTGCAAAACAGTGGGCGCCCTGCCTCTGGTTGGCACCTGATTTGCCTTAGAAAAGAATCCAAACCGGTATTCTGTTGGAAGCGCTAGCGCCATCTGCTGTCTTGTTGTCGTTAAGAACACATCTCCAACGGCAGGTGTTGAACTGAAGAAAGCCATGGTTGGAGATGCCCTCCATTCCATAGCCAGATCCAGCTCCTGCGAAGGCAGACCCTGAGACGCGGTGGTGATGGCTCAAGAGGATGGACTCCCGTCTCTCATGTGGGACGGCTGAATTGAATTTCTGCCTTCCCACTTTGAACTGGCCCAGTCTTCGCCATCATTACGAGTTCATTGTTCCCCCCCTCCTTTTTTTTTTTTTTTAAGATTTATTTTATTTTTATTGGAAAGGCGGATATACAGAGAGGAGAGACAGAGAGGAAGATCTTCCGTCCAATGATTCTCTCCCCAAGTGAGCGCAACGGTCGATGCTATGCCGATCCAAAGCCAGGATCCTTTTCCAAGTCTCCCACGCAGGTGCAGGGTCCCAAAGCTTTGGGCCGTCCTTGACTGCTTTCCCAGGCCACAAGCGGGGAGCTGGATGAGAAGAGGGGCCACCGGGATTAGAACCGGTGCCCATATGGGATCCTGGGGCGTGCAAGGCGAGGACCATAACCACTGCGCATCGCGCCGGGCCCTCTCTCTCTCTCTCCTTCTAAAATAAGTAAGTAGGAATTGACCCTGTGCCATAGCGTCTACGGCCAGGCACCAGTTTGAGTCCTGGTTGCTCCACTTCCAATCCAGCTCCCTGCTGATGGCTTGGGGAAGCAGCAGAGTATGGGTCAAGTCCTTGGGCTTGGCTAAGTTCTCCTTCACTCCCCACTGAGTGGCTGCGTGGCTATGTAAAGTGTTCTGTAGAGGGTGGCAAAAGATACACACCACAGGCTGCCACGGGCAGTGGCGAGTGAAGGGAAACCACGGCTAAGCTGCCCTACGTGCTGGCAGGTCCCTGTCTCTGGAGGCCGCCCGTGCCCTGTTGGGAAGCTCCTCGGGAACTTTCCAATTAACTGGTCTCATTCAGGGGAAGAAGTGAAGTGAATTATTCTTCTTTGGCCAAAAATTGGAGAAGCAGTTTATTAACGGTTGGGCATATGGCATATGAAGATTGCCCTGCCTAGAATCTGATTTTAATTCATAAGGGAATGCAGAGTGCCAAAAACAAACAAAGGGAACCAAAGCACATCTGGAGGTCTCACTGCTTGAAATCAGGATCCATTATGAGATGCTGTAACAAATTCAGTCTGGTGCCGGAATGTGACAGCAGTGACTGCTCACACAGGAGAACCAAGCATTACACCGGTCCTGGTTTTTCCTAAGTTTAACACTGGCAAACCTGGAAATTCATAAAGAAAAACTATCCTTTACTCTCACATGAGGAGCAAAATTTAGTTTAGTAAGCTTTCACATTCAAACATGAAACATAAACAGGATGTGTGATAAAAACATGAAAGCGTATCTTTGCAACCTCGGAGTAGACAAATATTTCTAGAGCAAAATATTCTCATTCTAAAGAACAGTGATAAATTGTTCTGTCCTCACAACACACTCAACAAACGACTTGTATCAAGGACAAACATATTTTTAAAAAATTATGCTGGGGCCAGCACTGTGCCATAGTGGGTAGAGCTGCTGCCTGCAGTGCCAGTGTCCTAGATGGGTGCTGCTGAGATCTGGCTGCTCTCCTTCCAGTCCAGTCCCCTGCTACTGTGCCTAGAATGGCACAGAATGGCTCAAGCGTTTGGGCCCCTATGTACATGTGGGAAATCCAGAGGAAGATTCTAGATTTCAGCCTTGGATCAGCTCAACTCCGGCTGTGGCATGAACCATATTGCTTCTTCTTTGTAACTCTGGCTTTCAGATAAATCTTCAAAAAACAAAAAACCCAAAGCAAGTATGTCAATATAAAGACTGTCAACAGAACTATGGGCCAGAGACTGCAGAGCTGCTTCACATAAGGGACCCGGAGGACAATTAACAAAGGAAAAGTTTTCAATCTTAATACTCAGCATCGTGAAAACTATACCACTACACACCATCCGGAATAGGATGAAAAGGACTTGATGCTACCAACCACGTTACGGGTACAGGACAATAGAACTTGGGAGAATTTCTTGGCAGTAATCAATAAAACGGAACATGCGAGGTCTGCTATTCCCTGCAATTCTACCAAGGCACGGATGTGAGGCTCTGTGTGTCGAAATACACATTTCAGGACCTGGAGCAAAACCAGTAAGTCTCAAACCAGAAACGAATCAACACTCATTGAATAAATAGGATGTGGTTTATTCACACAATGAAGTTCTACACAACCCACTGAGGATGAACCACGTACAAATACATGCAACAATGACAACAAACCTTACATAGTGTTGAGCAAATGAAGCCAGATACAATGAAGCATAATGTTGAATTCTATTCATATAACACCCAAAGCAGACAAAACTAACCTATGCTCTCGGGCCCCGGGATAGAGGTGACCCTCAGGGAGGTAGTGACTGGAAGGGAGCCTGATGGTGTGGCTTCTGGGTGATGAGTGCTTCCAGTGGGTTTGGGTAAACATCACTGCCAAGACGTCACACTGCAGCAAGAAGTTACCAACCCACTCGCCTCTGCCTGTGTACCCAGCTGCTCCTCTCAGTCTTTCCCACTGCTACCCACACTTGTGATCTCAAGTCAACACGTTAAACTCAATGTGCTGCTGAAGATGTAGTCCCCCTACCGTGAAACCCAGGCCTGTGCCTTCCTGCCAGTGTCACACACTCTCTTAAGGGCACAGTGAAATGTCAAAGTTTTGAACCAAAATGGCAGCAGAACTTCCAAGCTTAGCATCTGAAGGCACATGTTTGGATGGGAGAGCGCTTGCCTGAGCCCCATGCCCTGAGGGTAACATGGAAACGGAGCGGAGACCTGGCTGGAGTGGGACTCAAAAAACCCAGCTATCCTGAGAAAGTTCCTAGCCTCTCTTTGGTTTCCCTATCATTCAAATGGGCATAATGGCAGCTACTTGAAGAATCAGAAGGGGTTACCATGTGTATTCAGAAAGACATTATTACTAGAATTTAGGTCCCTGGAATGTGTTCCCCCCCAAAAAAGCACAGACCATGGCAAGGTTGTCTAGATAGCAAAAGGCTCAGGGATTACCCTGAAATCCGGACAACCTGTGGACAACACTCCGGATACCCCAAACCTCACTATATCCCCTTCAGGGACAGACAGCACCCTCGCCCCGGGCTCAAAAAGGGGTCAAGGCAAAGGGAGAAAGACGTGAGGGCAAGAGCTGACAATCCTCTGTGCCCAGCACCACATGTGCCTGCTATTACATGTACCTATCAGCAAGGAAGCGCTGTGGCCACTGCTCTTGGTGGCAAAGAAGCAGGAGTGTTGTAGCCAGAAGAAAACACCTCCCAGTGGTTTTTGAGCCAAGAGCAACAAAAGAGGTTGTGACACCACACATTGTTGTCGCTTTCTGCTTGACCAACAGGCCGCTGTACTCCACAGGCCTTTTGGTACACTGTATAGAAAGTTCTGGCCTCTGGAACGGATTTCTACTCTTCAGACTGATAGACCTTGGCAGTGACCGGGTCTAGGTAATCCAACCAGTTAAAGCCTGAATTGGACCACATGAAACAGTTTATCAATGTCAAAAAAAAAAAAAAAAGGTTCAGGGCCAGAAGGTTCACCCTGGCACTTGTACCCTTTAGGCAGACCCATATTAGGTCAGATCTTCATCAGAGAATACCTGAATGCACCTCAAAAATCACACAACAGCAATAAGCTCAAACAGGGAGTGTCCTGAACTAGGGATTAGGGAACTGTGCCTCCCGTGGCTGGCAAGGCTTTTCTGCTTTTTGTGGTTGCACCTCACCCCAAAGCGCAGGTTACCCTGCTCCTCACCCTGACCTGATTAGCACCAGAAGTCAGACAGCAAGCCCGTATCCTCAGTGTCCAAGCCGGGGTGGGAGCACAGGTCACCAAGACAAATGCCTCCTCCAGCGCTTTCTCTCGCTCAACGCAGAGGGTGTTTGGCTCACTCTGCTATAAGCGGTCTGCGCCCTGTGGAGGGGAGGCTATCGCTGCTGCTTTTCCGTGAGTGGATCTGAGGTCCCCAGGTCACTCTCACGTGAACCATTCCCCACTGGGCTAGTGTTAATGCATGCCCCTCACCACTTCACCAGGATCCGCCAATCTACCACAGAGTCTGCGAGGTATACAGGTACAAAGTTCTGCCAGCACTCCCCTTGGTGATGGGAGACAGTGGGCAGGGGTCACCTTCTCCTGCTCTCCCTCTGACAGCTCCTCAAGTCACTGCCCAAACACTTCGTTGCAGCATGAAGGGAAGAGAACAGGGAGGCAAGCGGACACAGTATAAGATGTGGTGCCTATGGATGTGGCTGCGAGACCCAGTTTTCTCTAGCAGCTGGAGCAGCCCAGAGCCCCAGCCAGCTCAGCTCTCCCTCTCCCTTCTCACTGGAAACCCTGCAACTCCACCCTTGTTTCTCCTTTGTATCATATTCTATCTTTTGATCGAGTCCTTGTCCTCAAAATTAAAATGCAAGGGGAAAGGAATGGAAAAGGGTAAAATTACATGAATTATTATCACCAACACAAGAAATGACAGGGGATAATGATGACGCTTCACCCTCCTCAAACCTTTCCTAGTTTAAGTACATCTAGCTACTGGATGTACTTATTTCCTAAATGATTTACTGCAGACACAGTAGAAACAAGGAAACCCACATTCTCTTGCTAAACAGTTCCCTACCCTTAACACCATGAATAGTTAACAGATATAAACTAAGAGACTATGCTTGTGGACAGTTAGACAAAGGGATGTCTTGTAAACCATGCCATAGGTAAATGACTTTTTCTTAGAGAATATGCAACTGTCCTGCTCTTTGCACTTTTCAGTTTTGCACTAAATCTAAACGCTGGCAAGTTCTCCTAAAGGGGTTGTAAAGTAAGCACAGTCAGAAGCAATGGCACCTGCTGTGAAACGTACTGATGGGACAGAGAAGCAGGCGATGGCTACCTCCAGACGGAAGGAACCGATGTTCTGGATCTAACCTCACTGACAATCAACCTGACTACCTGTTTGCTTCCTACTGTAGTTCCTCCTGCAGAGCCATGCACAAACTTGAAAGCAACGTACAAGGAAGGCATTTGGACTTGACCTTGAGAAGAGTTAGCTGTGGCCTAAGGATCAATGAAGAATGTGTCTCATTACAATCTTCATACTGGAATTGTTATGACGGGAGGTTCTTCAGGGAAAATCTCCAAATTCCAAAATGACGCTATGCTGCCATCTAAAATATTCTAAAATGTTCCAGAATCGCTGTATATTAGCAACAGTAGCTATCTATAGTGAAATGTGCTAAAACGTTCAGATTCCAGCCAGGGAACCTTTGACCATCTACAGTTGAGCTTTAAAATCACAGCAACATGCACTGAATACTTTTTCATTATTCAGAACACAATCACTTAATATTGAAAAACACCATATAACAAAATCTATGAGGCAGTATGCTCTCTTCATCAATTCTACAATTGCAATAAGTTGAACAGTGTAAATACATACCGAACAAAAAAACACTGTGGAAACAGTACAGCTGCCTAACAAGTCACATGATGAAAGCTTTGCGCTAACAAGAGTAAAGGTAAATGGAATTCTGTGAACATTACTTAAAAATAGATTTTTAAAGACAAAGGTCCCAGCTCCTTATATACACACAGCAAAGTTCATCTGTCACAGACAGCAAGTCTTGGGAGTTTCTGGCAGCACCCTGCACGTGCAGAGTGGAAACAGAGCTGCCGCTCTATGGGCGATGGCTTTTCACGACTGTCAGGCAGAGCATGGCTACTGTCCACGTGTTCACTGCTGCTTCTCAAAGGCAAAAACCAAGTAAATACCTGAGGAGGAAATAAATAAAAGCCAGTTAAGTTGATCATATCCTCAGAGCAAAGAAAGCATCTAGACAGGCCTGTTCCTAACTCAGTAAACACAATCTCGGGCTCTCAAGAGGGAAACAATCAAGACTCGACAGAAAGTCATGGAAAAGTGAAGCCTTGCTTCCCAAGCTATGAACAGGGGGAGTTAAGCATGGCAGTTCCCGACTGCCTCCTGGGTCTCAAGCCGGTTTTCTGTCCTTTCAACACAACTTTCCAAACACTGCTTTGGTCATGCTGTTGTGTTTCTTACTTCCTAAGTTCTGACTTCTTTCCGTGGAAGGACACTGTGGTTGACAGCACAGCCAGGCAGCCCTGTTTCCAGCCATGCTGGATGGTGAGGGAACAAAGAGCAACTACCACCACCGGCTACCCTGGCCCTTTCTCCAGGTAAGCTCTCTACAGCTCACATTACGGCAAACGGCCCTCCAGTCCTATCCTGTCTCAATTCTGGGTCATCTAAAACCACTCACAGACTGAAGGCTTATTTCAGGTATGCAATTAGCAATTCTCTTTCCTAACTCAAAAACTCTGAAAAGTCCTACTGGTTACATAAAATGCCTTCTTACTAGGCAACTGAAATTTTAAGAACCAAATTTTGAATTACTTCCATTTCCAAAAAGCAAATCTAGAGCAATTCTCTGTTCCTTCCCTTTGGAAAGCATGAACAGTTACATAATGATCAGACCGGAAGTCCAAGCTACGGCTTCTGAGGCCAGAAGGACCTCTGCAGCCCGCGGAGGTCTCCAGTTTACAGGAGTGTAATCGCTAAGCCAGGTCCTGTCTGTCATTTGTCCACTGTGCCCCTTCTAAGGCTTTCTGCAAATCTACCCTATCCTTTCCCTAACCACATGGGCGTATGACTAACTTCCACACTTCACATACAGTTCTGAGCCACAGCCAAGGAACTGCCAGTGTTTGAGCAAAATCTATGCCATATTTTGGCACTGGCAGGGTACCGATATCTAATCTCAATTGTAGGGAAAAAAGCACTATGTAATTTTTCAAGAATAATTATGTCTGCAAAATTATCTTCTAACCCTGTGTCTATGAAAGATACTAAAGAAAAACAGGCCTGGCATGTTGGTCCTATTTATCTTCTTTGCTTTCACTCTTCATCTGAACTCGGCAAGTTTGGTGTTCTTTTCAGGTCTTTGATGAGTACAGACCACTCAGGCTAACTAACAGCAAATCTAGTCTGTGATCTTAGCCAAGCTGCTCAACTGCTTTCTCATGTGTGAAAAGGAGACAAAATAAATCACAGCACGCTAACAAAGTTGTCAGAATCACCTGAGTTACAACATACGTAAGACAAGCTTAGAATAGTGTCTGGCATATATTTCACAGCTAATATCAACACTGCTGCTTCTCAGATGCCAATGGTTTTCACTCATCTCTCGCCTGCCTTCAGATTACAGTAACTTTACCTTGGCTTAGCAGGGGCTGTTTGTGTCTGTTTCTTCCACTATATCAAGTATAATGAAAGCGAGATTCCACTTACTAATTTCCAAAGTCTTTTCTGAGGAATTAAGTTATTGCTCAGTGTTTACCAAGTGGACTGATGACCACTTGTACCTTAAATATAAACAGGATCAATGAACCTTTAAAACAACAGTGGGAGGGCCAGGCGCCGTGGCCTAGCGACTAAAGTCCTCGCCTTGAATGCGCAGGGATCCCATATGGGTGCCGGTTCTAATCCCGGCAGCTCCACTTCCCATCCATCTCCTAGTTTGTAGCCCGGGAAAGCAGTCAAGGACGGCCCAAAATCTTGAGACCTTGCACCCACATGGGAGACCTGGAGGAAGTTCCTGGCTCCTGGCTTTGGATCTGCATAGCATCGGCCCTTGCGCTCACTTGGGGAGTGAATCATCGGATGGAAGATCTTCCTCTCTCTCTCTGTCCTCCACTCTGTATATCTGACTTTCCAATAAATAAATAAATAAATCTTAAAAAAAAAAAAAACAAACAAACAGTTGAATGACTAGTAAGCTCTCCGGGCAACAGTGTGAAGGACTTGCAATCCTTGACTGTGAGGCTCTGTTACCGACCTCTGCAACACCTACCTGCCAGCGCCCCACAGCACTTCAGGGCTACCTGGCTGCTCTGCAGACTAGCACAAGGTCACTGAGCGTGTCTAGGTATCCTGCTTGTTCCCAATCACACACCCCTCTAAGAGATCCTGCTCACTGGGCTGTTTCACTCACTCGCAACACCAGAGCAGCGAGAATCAAATGAAACACAGGAAAGTGACCAACAAACAAACAACAACAACAACAAAAAAAAACCAATAACAGAAATCTGGTGAAGATATCAAACAGAGACAGCTGTTTAACAATGAGTAGGTAATAAAAAAATGTTGAGGTGTGTTGGCCGAGTTCATGCTGAGCAACATTCTGTATTCATCTCCTCATGACATTAAACAGCTGTGTAAGAAAGGGGGGGTTGCAGCACGCACAGGGACAGAGGCATTTAAAAAAACGTCAGGAAAACTCCGATTTTAATGATCGCTTTGAAGCTCAATGTTCGAAACTGTCCGTTAACCTACACTGATGGTATACTCACTTGCAGCTTCCCATTCCGATTTACTTAAGGTTCCCTAAAATTGAAAAAATAATAATAAAAAAAAATTAGATTCAACGTGTAAGTAAACATATGCTTATTTTCCATCATGGAAAGACGTGACCCCAAACCCCTAGCTTCACTGTAAATATATACAGCTTATGCAATTTGATTTCAACATGATGCACGTCTTCTCGTTAGAGAATACAAACTGACCAAGGGCAGCCTCACTTGACTCTTCTTCACGTATTCTGCAGCATGCTTGTAGTCGTCTGCCTTCTCAGAAGCAGGTTTCGAATTCTCATTCGCAGGATATGGCTGGGGAAGCAAACGGAACTCCTGGTTAACATCAACAAGTCTCCATTAACACTTACAATGCAAAATTAGCCAATAAATTATGAAAGTCATCTATGACGACTGCTGCAGAAATACAAACTAAACATTTTGGAAATGTGAAGAAAAAAAACCTAGGAAAAGGGAATTTGTTCTCATTTTTTTTTTTTAAAGAGACAATACATTTATTTATTTGGAAAGGTAGATTTACAGAGAGGAGGAGACAGAAAAATCCTGTATCTGCTGGTTTAATTCTGAAATGGTCACACCTGAGCCGACCCAAAGCCAGGAGCCAGGAGATTCTTCCAGGTCTCCCACACAGGTGGCAAGGACCCAAGGCTGTGCTCTGTCACTTTACCAGGTGGTAGACAGGCAGCTGAATGGGAAGTAGAGGAGCCAGGACACGAACAGGCACCTAGATGGAATACTGACCCTTGCAAGGAGGATTAACCAACTGAGCAGTCACACTGTACTTTATCCATTTTACATTAGAGTTTCAGTAGTAAAATTAGTAATTAGAAATAACACAAATGAAAAAGACAAAAGAGAACTCTAATAACAAAAGAGGCATCTAGCCTCTAAAATACAGGTAGTTCCCACAGTCGTATAAAAATCTGGACCAGGGTTAGAAAAATGCTGTGTTGCGAAGGGATACTAGTCAAATCTACATTCATATTACCTCAGGCACTCTTCTGAATCCACCTCAGGTAGTGAGTCTACTGAGTCCAGCAGTCACTGCCGGGGACTCCAAACAGCGATGGGAGAAGCCAAAGGCAGCAAGAGGCAGCCACGCTCAAGTGACTCCTCAAGCATGCGCTGCTCCTTCAGCCTTCCCTGCCTTTCCTTAGCCTGCTCCCTTCCCAGAGGCCCTAATGCAAACTCCGTGCATTCTGAACATGTCCTCATCACTGCAGTACTGACTTGCTCGCTTATGTGTGAATGGTCCAATATACCACATGATCCTCGAAGGAAGGGGATCCCACCGTCCCATATTCAACTGTCTAAGGACATTGAAAGCTGATCCAGTATTTATATGCTGGGAGAATGTCTAGATAACTCATTATTGTGCATGCAAAAGCAGAAGCTAAGATGTTTTAAATTCCTGCCTGTGGCCTGGGAAAGCAGTTAGAGGACAGCCCAAAGCCTTAGGACCCTGCACCTGGCGTGGGAGACCTGGAAGAGGCTCCTGGCTCCTGGGTCCAGATCGGCTTGGCTCCAGCTGTTGTGGCCACTTGGGGAGTGAAGTAGCAGATGGAAGATCTTTCTGTCTCTCTTTCACTCTGTTAATCGGCTGACTTTCCGATAAAAGTAAGTAAATTAAAAACAAAAAAACTATATATGTATATAAATATATATACACACACACACACACACACATATAAAGCAACAGCCATTTGTACTTGAACAAGTCATTTATCCTGAGACTCAAGCTGCCTAGTTAATAACAGGTGAAAAGTCACTAGTCTGTCTAACTCATTGGGGGTAACTGTAAGGATAATGCTTAAATACTCAAATGAATATACTAAACCGAGTAACTCTGAAAGATAATAGCCATCTGATGAATATGATTCTGCTGGTTAACAAAAATGTTCACCAAATGAAAACACTGATAAGGAAAAAGCAATCAAGACTGCCCAGCACGTGACTCCGACCATGCTCATTACTGCTCTGGCAACAGCACAGGGTCCTAGGAAGGCAGGTGGCAGCTACAGAGGGCTCCCCTCTATCCGTTCAGGATTCCCTTCCGGACCCTGCCATGGATGCCTGGAACCAAAGCTCACACGCTGAATGTACTATGCTTTCTGTGACACATCCACGTCTGTAATACAAGCTGAAGAACCAATGAGGCGCAGAAAGAGATGAATAATTACTAACGAAAGATCAATAAACAATAATATATTCCATCTCCCTTTCACTCTGCCTCTCAAAAAAATATACTGTAATGAAAATCACATGGTCTCTGCGCTACACTGAGATCACAACCGCAGGTAACTGGAAGGGCAGATGGCGTGGGGGACACTAGTGCAATCGGGCTGCGACCCTGCGCCATAATCACCATGATCTAAGCTGGTCTGCCTGGTCAAGAGGGATCCAAAAAAAAAAAAAAAAAAAAAAAGGTTGGAAATGATAATGTAATTCCAGGCACTGCTGCCAAGAAGAGGTTTCCAAGAGGGAAAATTAGGGAGTGTTTGGTTGTGACAGACACAGATCTGCCACTGGCAGGCAGCTAGTGTGCGGTCAGCGATACCACTGAATATCCCACACTACAAAGAACAGTGTTTCACAATAAAGAATTATCCCATCTAAAAAGTCGATAGTCCCGAGCCCCGATTTTGAGGGCTCAGATTGTGGAATAAAAACTGATTAAGCCACAGCCTGCAACACCAGCACCCCACAGGGGACCCAATTCAAACCCTGGCTGCTCCATTTCTGATCCAGCTCACTGTTGATGAGCTAGGGAAAGCAGCTAAGATGGCACATCTTGACACCCACATGGGAGACCAGGAAGAAGCTCCTGGCTTCTGGCTTCAGGTTGGCTCAGCTGCAGCCACTGTAGCTACTTGGGGAATGAACCAGCAGATGGAAGATCTTTCTGTCTCTCCTCTCTAAATCTGCCTTTCTAAGAAAAATAAAGTCAATCTTAAACAAAAGTAAGAAACCGGACATTAGCATAATGATGTAGCAGGCTAATCAGCTGCCTGTATGCGCTAGCATCCAATTGGGTACCAGTCTGCATTCTGGCTGTTCCGGTTCTGAACCAGCTCCCTGGAATCAGCAGTGCATTATGACTAAAGTCCTTGGGCCCCTGTGCCCACGTGGGAGACCTGGAAGAAGCTCCTAACTCCTGGCTTCAGACTGGCTCAGCTCTCGCCACTGAAGTCAACTGGGGAGTGAACCAGCAGAAGCAAGAACTCTCTCTGTAAAATCGCCTTTCAATTAAACATTGGCTGTTATCTTGGTGCAGCGGGTTAAGCCGCTGTCTACAACACTGCAATCTCATATGAGCACTGGTTCAACTCGCAGCTGATTCACTTCCAATCCAGCTCCCTGCTAACATGCCTGGAAAAACAGAAGATGGCTCAAGTACTTGGGACCCTGTTCCCATGTGGGAGGCTTGGTGGAAGCTCTAGGCTTCTGGTTCCAATCTAGCTAGCTGCACATGTGGACATCTGGCAAGTGAACTAACAGAGGGAAGATTTCTTTCTTTTTAAATCTGCCTTCCGAATAAAGAAAGAAATCTTAAAATAAACAAATAAATAAATACATAAATACATAAAAATAGAAGAGGTGCTAGTAAATGGCTCAGTCTGCAAGTGCCCGCATTCCATATGAGCACTGGTTCCAGTCCCAGCTGTTTCACTTCCCATCCAGCGCCTTGCTTGTAGCCTGGGAAAGCAGAGAATGGCCCAAAGTCTTGGTTCTGTGCTTCCTTGTGGGACACCCTAAGGGGCTTCTGGCTTCAGCTCTGGCCACTGTGGCTTTTGGGGACTGAATCAATGGATGGAAGATCTTCCTATAAATCTGCCTTTCTGAAGAAGGGAGTTGGAATAGTCAAATCAGGATCCTATGGTAGACATCGAATGATTCCCCATCAAAACTCATGGTGCTCTTATTTTAAGAGAAATGAACAAGAGCAGTGGTAGAACCTTCCCTGACATTCGTGTGCTGTTTTGGGTAAACTTCTCAAAAACACTCCCCTAACTGGTGAGATCATGTTTCAGCTCTGTTCTCGTCTGTAGCCGATCGGGATGCCATCAGTCAGGATACCCATGGATCTGACGGTCTCTCTATTTCTCAGTCATAATTGTGTTACGCTGAAACGATGGAGCTATGCATGATGCTTGCTACTATTTCTGCTGTTCATCACTGGTTCTCTAATGAGAGCATAAACAACCGTTTTTCCTTATCGCTGATCTGGAGGTCTGCAGCTATAGGCTTCAGCTTCAACACTGTCTCACTCTTTCTTCTTCTGAAAAGATGTAAAAATTTTATTTGAAAGGCAGAATTACAGAGTAGGATGGAGAAGCAGAGAAGTCTTCCTTGCACTGGTTCCCTTCCCAAATGGCCACCATTTTGAGGCTGGGCCAGACCAAAGATAGGAGCCAGCAAACTCCATCTGATGTGTGTGGCAGAGGGCCAACGACTTGAGCTGTCTGCTGCTGCTCTCCCAGCTGCAACAATAAGGAGCTGACTTTGAAGTGGAGCAGCCAGGAATCAAACCAGTGCCCATAGGGTTGCCAATGTTGCAGGAGGTGCTTTAATCTGCTGAGCTAGAACATTAACCCCTCATCCCTTCTTAAAATGTCTGATTTCTCTGAGGCACTGACTCATAATAAAGTATCAATGATTCTGTTCTTCCAGCCATAATCTTCACCATAACTGATTTGTATTCTTGCTTCAAATCTAGACTGTGGTTTGCCCTGGGGGGCTCTTTCCAAATGGACACTTCACTCTTCTCAAACTAGATCCTGTTCGGACACATTATACCAGTTGGCACAAATTTATTTCAGTACAAAAACCATATACATTTTCCCCATAACATACATATTACATGATCATTCTGAATATACTACACTGTCTAAATGGCTTTAAAAAGATCTCAAAAACAGACAAAGTTCACCATGGCTCATGATTTTTTTTGTTTTCAAGAACTTACCTCTAGGGCCTGCATTCGTTTCAACAGCATTTTGTTTTCATTGTTCTTAATCTTTTCTTCATAAAATTCCAGAAATGTTTTCTTGTAGACTAGTTTCATATTATACTTCTTCACCATTCTGTCCAGAAAGATTACTTTGTGAAAAAATTGTAAATGTTTATAGTTCCTCAATAGCTTACTTTTGTACAACAGTGACATCTTCTGGGCTGAAACTAAGACAGCACCGTTTCCCCCCCAGTTTCAGAGTGTCTCCAGTACAGAGACACACACTCTCAATCTCAGTGGGTCACAGCCAGCTCTAAAGTAACACAGGTTCAGGGACTGCGCCATGGGGGAAAATGACTGAATTTCTAAATTAATTCCACTTTCATCAATTCTCCACAGAAACATTCAAAAGAGCTACCCACTTCATTCTCAAAATATTCATTTCAAACCTCCTGGATTCTGTGACAAAATAAACTATTTTCCAAATGTACTCATTTTATAAGGCGACAGAGTGTCCAGGTCCCATCCCTGGTTCACTCTTCAGATGCCTACAAATCCCAGGCTGGGCCAAACCCAAGGCCAAAGCTGGGAAACTCAACCTAGGTGTCCCAGGTGAGCCATTCCTGGCCACCTCTCAGGGTGCACATCAGGGGACAATGGAATGAAAAGTAGAGCTGGGACTCAACCCAAGCACCCCAAGCACGCTGCAGTGACCCCAAGTGGGGCATCATAACTGCTGTGCCAAACACCTGCCTCAAGACACATACTCATTTGACCATACGCCTTGTGCTGCTTTTTCTGTTTTGCCAGTTCCTTTTTTAACCAACTTCTAAATTTTAAAGTTTAAAACATCTGGCTCAGAACCCTACTCACTCTCCCTCCAAGTTCACCTGGCAAGACAACAGCTTTGTGAAGCTCAGCTCTCTTTCACAACACTTTTTTATTCTGCTTCCTACTAAAATCTCAGCAGGATATGTCACAGTCAGTGTCTAACTTCCCATATTCAAGGCTGAACCTCATGAGATCGATTTCCTGGCTATCTCAGCTATTTCAGTCAATCCATCATCTATCGTGCTTTCTTCCTACTCCTAACACTATTTATCTCTCCAATAGGTCTACTTGCACTGCTCGTTTGCTACCATCATTTTCCATATTTACTCCCAAATGGCCACAACAGCTGCGGTCATTTGGGTCTCCCACCTCGGTGCAGAGGCCCAACGACTTGGGACATCTCAATGCTACTTTTCAAGGTTCATTTAGCAGGCAGCTGTACCAGAAACGGAGCCGACGGGACTCAAACTGGTATTGCAGAAAAACAGCTTAACCTACATTGTACCACAAAGCTGGTTCCTTTTTTTTTTTTTAATCTGCCACCATCTTGTTTCAATCACCATCGCCATTCAGTTGTGCCAGTCCAGTAACTAATCAATTACCCCTGTTGCAAACATTCTTACAGTCCCTCAATGAAGTGTCCAAACTACAGCCAGATTAAGCTTTCAAAAATATGTAACTCGTGTATCACTAACCCCTTACAACACCATTCACTGCCGGGTTCCGGTACACACAGGACACCATTCAAATGCCTTGAAAATGCCTCTGTGGCACTCGGTTATAAAGCAACGCTGCTCCCCTTGAGCCACGTGGGCCCCGATTCCCTGAGAAACACCAAAGCACTAGCCACACTCTCTCCCTCCAGGGTCTTCAACACTTGCTGTCTCACACCAGAACATTCTTACATCCAGTCTTCCACTGGTCCCCTCCTGCAGATCAAGACTTCAACATCACTTTCTCATAGGCATGCTCCTTAAATCCTCAGACACAGTAGGACTCCCTGTTACACTCTTGGGGTTTTCTTTCCTAGCTGCATTTTCCAGGCCTACAGTGACACATCTGTCAAAAACGGGCGGGTGATGGGAGATATCTTCAGAGAGCAAAGGTAGACAGGGAGACAGGACAAACATCCTGACAAGGGAGGTGAGCGGCTCCTATGGAAGCACATAGGGGAGCAGAAACACCCAGAGAGGATTCTCCTGCTTGACTCGAGTCTCCCTAAAAGCACAACATGAGCAAAGCAAAATCTCTTTATTCTAGATTTTTTTCTACCATTAAAATGTCTTTGGAAATGAGACCAAATTGCAAACAACTAGATCCAATCTGAATAGGTTCTGCCATATAAAAACTAATAACAGTTTCGTCCACTTTGCATTAAGGAAGTTCCCAGCAGTCACACAGAGAGGTCTGCTGTTTGACCTTCCTTTCGCAAGGTGAATGCAGTCGGCTCCCTTTCTCACACAGAATGACAGAGAAGGGAACAAGTCAGGCTGTAATAAACTTCAGGAACCAATCCCGGGTCAGAGGCCATGGTCGGGGTTTTTGCTTGTTTGTTTTTAGTAAGATTATATATACCTTGACTTCATTTAAAATATGGGTTACCTAGAAGTATTAATTCCCCACCCCACATCCCCTTTACAAGAAGAGAAGGGTAACAGGTAAGTAACAATCTTACTCATTTAGCAGTGGAAAATAAACCAAGAACTCAGGGACATCCACAACACCTTCCAAGTTGAAGTCATATTTGCAGCCAAACAGAGGATATTCTCCTTTCTTCTGAAATTTCACAGTATAGATTTCGTTTCCAAAAGATTCTGTTTCTGATGTTTCAAGGCGTTTTCTGTCAAGTTGTTGTACAACCAAAATAAGAGATTAAAATGGTAACTGGTATAAAGTTATCTCAATCAGATGACAAGTGAGAAACCAGTTCACCCGTAAATCTGTCTTTTGAACTTCAATTCTGAACATCTACATGATATCAAGGCGCTCAGTACTTCCGGGGCCCACACAGCATGTTTTACATACTCTGTTTGGGATCAGCAATTGCTCCTTGATATGGACAGTTTTAATGAACGACTTACATCAGTTCAAAGCTGTTGGGAGTGGTGCCGATAAAATAGCCTCCAGGGCTAAGTCTCTCACAAGCATTTCTGAGCAGCATGTCTGCCTGCTCGTAGGACTCAAATGAGTAATGACAAACAAACTGACAACTGCAGATATCAAAGCACATTTCTGGATCGCGAAGTTTGCCAATCACAAGTTCCTGAAACAAAAGGAATGTGTTACACAAACTAAAAAAAAAAAAAAAAATTTTTTTTAGTAAACTAATTTCCAAAATTTAGGGATCTTAAAAGTCCGCAGGTCCTGCAAGCAATCTTTTCCTCACAATCTGCAACTTGCTCTTTCCCTTGTTACACAAATGCACACCTGTACTTCCAAAAGATACAGGATTTCTGTTTGGTCATCATACCCTAGCAATGTGGTATAACATATCAATGGCATCTGCAGTTTTATTAAATATTAAAAGCATTCACAGATATTATGACATACATAGAACAGAATATATGCAATCATGCCATTTGCCAAGGGACTTCAGCACCACTGGATTCTGTCCTGGAACCAACTGCCTGAGGCTACCAAGAGAGACTACACTAGAAAATAGGTTCCTGAATGAGAAACAAAAAACTGACTCAACAACTTCAATTATTATGGCCAAAAATTCCTGAGATTTATGATAATAGAACTCCTAGTTGAAACTGAAAAAGCATGCTCTAAGTTTTTTTAAAGTAAATCATTTGGCTGAACCAAAAAGGAAAGAAAATAAATAAATAAATAAATTGGCTAAAAAGAAAAAGACCCGCACAGAAGAGAACACACAATACCTTTGAACAGTCGGCAGTTATAAATTCTGCGCTGAAAATCTGATCACCATCACGACGATTTTTCATATCTTCGTAACGCTGCTGACACTGCTGGACCGAGACATCAGCAATATCTGAAAGGGTGGAAAGGCTGTGAGGACTGCATCCTGGGATGGGACCAAGGCTGTAAGGACTGCGTCCTGGGATGGGACCAAGGCTGTGTGAGGACTGCGTGCCCAGAACAGGACTAAGCGAGACACTGATGATTAAGTGTGTGTGTCATGTTCATTAGGACTTGGAAAGGATAATCAGACTTGAGTACTTGGTATGTATTCTTACAAATGAAAGAAGATACTCTCAAGGAAAACAACATTTTGATGCCAAGGGCAAATCTGACTTTCAACTGAAAATAACAACTAGGAAAAAATTTGTATCAATCACAAGGGGTTAGGCATATTCCCAGTATTTGCTTACAAACACTTCTTGGTGCCAACAGTTGGAAAATTTGCGTAACTTTGGTGAAGTATGTTTTTAAAACATTACAAAATCATGACACACAAGAAAGACCAACATATTTTTAAGATAACAAAGTAAAAAGGTCACCAGCAAGGTTTCCATATTGTAGCACTATTTTCTGACAAGATTATGGAAATACTCATGTCTTAAACCATTTAATCAAAATAACATCAGAACATACTGAAAACAAAAACAGTTCTGTGGGCCGGGCAGGAGGACTCAATTGGCTAATCTTCCCCTGCAAACAGTAGGATTCTACATGGGCACTGGTTCATGTTCTGGCTGCTCCACTTCCCATCCAGTTCCCTGCTTATGGCCTGGGAGAGCAGTGAAGGATGGCCCAAAGCCTTGGGACCCTGAACCTGTGTGGGAGACCTGGAAGAAGCTCCTGGCTACAGTTTAGCTCAGTTCTGACCACTGGGGCCATTCTGGCCATTTGGGGAGTGAACCAATGGATGGAAGATCCATTGGTTCTCTCTAAAAAAAAAAAAAATCTTCCTAATAAAAATGAGTAAACCTTTATATATATAAAGAATTAAATATATTATATATACATATAAAGGTTTGAAAGAATCTAGTCTTTTCTTATTATTCCAGACTCCAAAGACATTTGCAAAAATCTGAAAAGCAAAGAAAAAAGCAAAGCCAGTCTTCACAGTAAATGTTATCCTCAGGTACTTGATACTGAAGGAACATGGTTGGCTGCAGGACTTCACTGTGAGGTATGACGAGCTTCAGGTGCACTTATGTATAAAGTCCTGTCAATCTTTCAACGATTTCGATTTCTTAAGCCTGCTGCCCAGAGGCCTAATTCATCAAGGAAGAAAAAACACCGATTCCGCAGTTCCATTATTCTTCTTTCATTCCTCCATTATGATTTCTAAAGAGAACAATTTCCCTTTTAACCATTTGGTTTCCTGGAAACACCATTCACATTAGAAAGGTAAGAAAAATGTTTGATCTCTGCACTTAACTTGAGTTGGGTTTAACTCACTATTCCTTTTGCTGATTAAATGATCCAATCTTTCTCAATGAAAATTTTTCCGACTTTGTCCCTTAGCCACAGCTCCATGCCCATTACCGCGTGACAATAGCACCAGCAAGGTCTTACAACTCATTTTCAGAACCGCTCATCTCCTGTGCAGTCCTCAGCTATCCTGCAGCGGCTGGTATACCGTGAGCGTGACAAGGATTTTCTTTGCTCCTTCTCCCTTTACCTGAGTAAAGTCAGGCATTTCCGCCATGCCATCATTTCTTACCAGTGCACACGAGCTTGTGGATTCTACCCTTCTTCCACTTGAGCAGATCTCCACCTTTGCCACAGCCCAGATCCAAAACAGCAATGTCACGTTTCTTTTTCTCTCGAACCTTTTCTAAAAATTCCCCTAAAGGGAAGGAAAAGTAATAAATGAATTTTATTTTTGTTAATCATAATCTGTGACCTCTAATAACCTACTAACCTCTGCTAGATATGTAATATTGGTAAGTATTCATTCATTTACGTAGTTAATTCCTAAGTGTAAGTATTTCCAAATGCAACTATGAGTTAATCAACTTGACCTACCATTAAGGATTAAAAAATGTGCCTGATGTTTTAGAAAGGTCACAGCTCTCTGAAGGTTTGCCTTTAAAATTTCATTGAACATTAAATAGTAGCTATTTTAAATTTGAATGAGATAACTTGCACATGTTTATGATCAGCAAAGCTCAAATCATTCATAACCTTTTTTCAGCTTTTTGTTTCCACAGCTAGATGTTTCACTTACCACACCCCATGGACAAAGTGCTTGCTTTTCATCACAGACATTAAAAAAAAAAAAAAAAAAAAAGAACTGATCCCCAAATTCTGTAGTTTCATAATCATTAAGATTTCTAAACACCTCAATTTATCAAGCCACATTAATAGTCAATAAATAAAATCAATATTCTTAAACAGTAACAATCAAAAGATTTATCTATTAAACAGAGATTAAAACCCAAATTCAATTAAAGTATTTAATAATTGTAAAACAACACTGAGTTCTGGAACCACATTTTTCTTTCCTTATTCTTCTGAGTTTAACACTTCCTAGTTAATGCATGTACCATTTTGATGGTTAAAATAATCTATACAGATACTACCTCTTCTTTCACAATCTATAGGATCTTTAAGTAACTCTGGGATTCCATATTTCATTTTCTATCATAAACCCTTAGAGAATAGCACAAAAATACTGGACATAGCAAAGAAACAGTCATTATAAAATCTCTATTTCCATACAAAAAAAAAAAAAAAACTGAAAAGAAATCATCAAGAAACATTAGTTTCAAAGGTACTTTCATCACGTTCAAAGATTGTTCTCAAACTGTTTACTAAGCTCGAAGTACCCAAAGAGTAAATGACCCTGTGTTGAGAAAAGAAAGAGCCAAGAAGGGAGCTTGGCAGAGATCAGACTGATTGCATTAGCGCTAGAAAGACAGGTGCAAATGGCAAAGCGCTGCCTGGAGTTGCTGAGACAGCTGCAGAAGGGAACAAAACAAAACACATGCTACATCGTGCTACTTCAGACTTTTTAAAAACTACCCGCTTTCTTAATTTTAGAATAGGTGAGAAATATGAAAAATACAGACTCCAAAATGTCAACCAATGGAAAAACACAAATAAATGATACATTGTGAAATATACTGGTGTTATTTCTATCACGAGGAAAATGCAAGAAAGGATGGAAACAAATCAGCTCCCTAGAGGCTGGAGAAGCAGGACAGGAAACTGAAAACACCCTTGTACTAATGAAGCTGGACCTGGCCCAGCAGCCGACACTGTAGCCTTAAACAGTGAGGCAGGGGCTGGAAGAGCGCCCTGTCCCTCTGCCTCTCTCTCTCTGTAACTCTGGCCTTTCAAATAAATAAGTTAGAAACAATTCCAGTTGAGGCAGACATTTGGGGTACCTGCATCCTGTGTCCCAATGCCTGGGGCTGAGCCCCACCTGAGCACCTGCTGCACCCTGGAAGGCAGCAGACTCAAGTCCCTACAAATCTTGCCACTACATAGTGACGCAGAGACAAGGGCTCTTGGTCCTTTGGCCTGGCCCTGTCTCTGCTCTTGCAACAATTTAGAGAGTCAGCAGATGGGAACTGTCTCTGTGTTTCAAATAAAATTAATTTAAACATAATTTTGGCAATCAAGTTTTCATCTCCTTAATGAAGATTTAATTAAACGAGACTCAGAGCTTGGTGTATGCAGAAAAAAATGAAAAAAGGTAAATTAGGAAACCGCAAAATAAAAGATAAAAGCCGGTCATACCAATAAGAGCGCTTTTTATCCAATTATTGAAGTTCCTTAAGTAAAATATACGACTTTGACTACGCTTGTCCAAACCAACTTCCTGAAGTTCATTATAGTGGGCAGCCACCGCTGAGCCATGCCCATGTTCTAACTTCTGAAAACAAAAGAGAATGGAATAAGATTAAGAAACAGAACATGGTCAACATAATAACTTTTGAACTATAATATGTTAAATCACTTGAACTGTTAAACTTCGCTAAGCAATGGCATCAACCCCAGACGGCCCACTAAATTTTGTCAGATACTATCATTTTACTCTTATTTTGAAAAACTAACCATAGACTTAAAAATCTTCATTTTGATTCTTCCATTTGATCTTTCCATTTTGGTGCCAATGTTGTAACAGAACATAATACTTTCAGGATTCTATTTATTCAACCCAATAAATGCCAGTAGACAGTGTTCCTCTAAGAGAATGAAACAGGATTACACTACAACATATATATGATGATGAAATCATGATGAGGACAGAGATGTTGCGACTCGCCTGCCTGCAGCGTTGGTGATTTCTGCTGGGACAGGCTGTCTCCCGTGTGTAACCCCACTGTCTTCAGCCTGCTCCCCAGGCCCTCTGTGTAGGAACACGGTATGAGCCCCTCACATCCCTCCTCAGTGAAGTGTGTCTTTCTCATCCATTTTACCTATCAGGTTTCACCGCTGCTCAGAGTCTGACAAATGTTTGAAATGCTAGCTCTGCTCCTTCATTGGCATTCACTCTACCACCGTCCAAGCCTGACCTAGCTGCCACATTCCTCCGCAGGGATGAGGCCGAAACTGAAAGTGCTCTTTCTGTCCAACTCCACATTCTGCCCCAGATTCCTTTCTAAAATGCTATTTCAGAGGAAAATGACTTGCTCTCGCTCACTCCACAACATTCTGCTAAATATTGGGTTTCTGTAATCACTTAAGCAAAACTATATGTAAGCTACGCTAACAGGAGATTGGAGCGACTGGCATCGTATGGCACAGCGGGTTAAGGTGTCCGCAGTGCTGGCTGTTGAGGTACCATGGTAAGGCAGTGAAAGACGACTCGAGACCTGGGCTCCCGTCCCCCTGAGAGAGACCATGGTGGAGCTCCAGAACACGGCGTGGGCCAGCCCTGGCTGTAGTGACCATTTGGAGAGCGAATTCTGTGACTCAGGGTTTTACATCATCTTTAAAAAGAAAAGACTTGAAAAAAATCTTTTTGAAGAACTGGAAGCAACTAGAACCCAATAAGTACCTGGATGAGCATGATTTTGAATTGATCAGAAGCAATCACAACTACCTCTCCCAGTAAAAACGGGCACCGTGGGGCCCGGCGCGGTGGCGCAAGTGGTTAAAGGTCCTCGCCTTGCACGCCCAGGATCCCATATGGGCGCCGGTTCTAATCCCGGCAGCCCCGCTTCCCTTCCAGCTCCCTGCCTGTGGCCTGGGAAAGCAGCAGAGGACGGCCCAAAGCTTTGGGACCCTGCACCTGCATGGGAGACCCAGAAGAGGCTCCTGGCTTCGGATCGGCATAGTATCGGCCCGTTGCGCTCACTTGGGGAGTGAATCATCAGATGGAAGATCTTCCTCTCTGTCTCTCCTCTCTGTATAACTGCCTTTCCAATAAAAAAAATAATAAAAATAAATCTTTAAAAAAAAAAAAAAACGGGCACCATGGTCCACAGCGGGTGAAGGCAGTTGGGGATGGAGGCCTTTCTAACTACTGGGGTGATGGTTTGAGCTCTAGAGCTTTCACCTCAGATCCAGCTAGCCTGGGGGGCAGCAGACGACAGCTCTCCCCCCACATGGGAGATCTCAATGGAGCCATCACTTTACCTTTCAAATAAGTAAATAAACCGAGAGATGGACATCTAATAAGGGAAAAAGTAAATCGTGTGGATTTCATACTCCTTTTTAAAAACAGTAAGAAACAGCCAACTCTAAAACTCGGCTTTTAAGTTCCGAACCAACAAGGGCTTTAAAACAATAAACAATTACTAGAAGTCTCTATTGCATAAGAATTAAGTTAAAAACCTAACCTTTTCTAAGACCATATGTATTAATAGTTCTAAGCTACACTAATTACATCAAACCTAGCATTATGCCACAGCTGCTCCACATTCCTATGTCATGTATGCGAGTACCAAGAAAATCCACTGAATACCTTCTGCTTATCAGGAACTTCTTCAAGGTCTGTTTTTCTCTTTTTCTGAGGGCCATCTCCGGTGCAAGGTTCGCCCGGGCCATCTTCGGGAACATTTTCGAGTTCTCTTTTTCTCTTTTGTTGAGGGCTGTCCCCAGGGCAGGGTTCGCCCGGGCCGCCCTCAGTTTCTGCTTTCCTTCTCTTAGAGATGTCGTCTTCACCCACGGGACCCTTTAGCTCTGCAGCAATTTCATCATCAAGTTTTCTTTTTCTGGATGAAGCAGCACCTTCCTCACCACTGGAGCTTTCCTTTTCAAGCTTGTCTTCAGACCCTTTTGCTTCCTGTGGTGCGTGTGCCTGCGCGCAGCTCAGACCCTTAGAAGGACCGGGTCCAGGAGCCGCTGTGTTCTCACCAGCACTGAATGCGGACTCTGATTCAGACTTTGCTGATGCTTCTTCAAGAGGCATCTCCCCACATTTCTCTGGGTTTGTAGAATTCTCCATTTTGGACTACTTGGATTGATAAAGCTTTGTGAACACTAGAATGACAAAATTTATATATTACTTCCAGAAGTTAGCTAGTGAATTCCAGGGAGCAACACATTTTTTTAAGAAATCTCTTTGTAGAGAGGCCAGATTCGTGGCACAGTAGGGTAAGTTGTGCTATGTAACTGGTTTTCCCTGGCTGCTCCACTTCAGATCCAGCTCCCCGCGAACGCACGAGACAGCAGCAGAAGGCGGCCTGAGCGCCTAGCCCCCGCAACTGACCTGCTGCAGTCCCACTTCCCAGCTCTGGGAGGCAAAGTTTCTTTCTCTTTTTGTTTCTCTCCCTCTCTCTCCACAGCTCTGCCTTTCAAGTAAAGAAGATACGCTGCTGGTGGCATGTGGGGGGATTTCAATGCTTGAGACAATAGACAGTAGGTGCACACACTCATTAGTAATTGTGGTTAAAAAATAACCACAATGATCTTTCCGTTAGTTTCATGTGTTAATTTTTTAAAACATACAAAGTTGCTAAAACGAAAGCATGTATTAATTGCTGGGCTGCTTGATGAATGCAACTGTCAGGTACTGATTTAGGCCTACACTGCTAAGGGTATCTAGAACAGAAAACACCCTGGAGTCTCCAGCAAGGACTTCTGAAATCCTTACCTTGTAATGGGAGAAGGGTCCCCAACTAGGTAGAAAATGATCACAATGGGAAATAACTCGGAATAAACTTCAAGACAGTTTTCAGTCTAATGACCAGCAACTCCTACTTCAAACACTGAAGGCCTTAGAACTGTGTCATGTGGTAGGGACAGTGAACGAACTGAACACTCTACTGGACACTGTAAGATGGCCCATTCATTCATTCATTCGATATTTCTCCTGCTACAGAAAAGTTCAATGTGAGTTAGTTCGTTCAGAGGCTTACAACATTAGCAGCCCACTGTGAAAAATGTCAGGTTGGGGCCCGGCGCAGTGGCCTAGTGGCTAAAGTCCTCGCCTTGAAAGTGCCAGGATCCCATATGGGTGCCAGTTCTAGTCCCGGCAGCTCCACTTCCCATCCAGCTCCCTGCTTCTGGCCTGGGAAAGCAGTCGAGGGCGGCCCAAAGCCTCTCCTGCACCTGCGTGGGAGACCCGGAGGAAAGTTCCCTGCTCCTGGCTTCGGATCGGGGCAGCACTAGCCGTTGTGGTCACCTGGGGAGTGAATCATCGGATGGAAGATCTTCTCTGTCTCTCCTCCTCTCTGTATATCTGACGTTGCAATAAAAACAAGTAAATCTTAGGAAAAGAAAAAAAAAGGCAGGTTGTATTTTTCAAACCAAATGGAGAAGGGAAAGGTAAAAGCCCCCAAAACGTGAGATGCAGCAAACTCAGAACCTGAAAATCATGGACAGGAAAAAAAAGTTTAAAAAAAAAAAAAAAGCAAACCTTTCTATGTGAACAGAAAGAATGACAATAAATCAAGTCAGAAGTCAGTATGCGTTAGGGAGGGATTCCAGGTCCATGTGCTCTCACTACCGAGGCTATAGACCACAAAATACCAGGTGGTGCCCAACAGTGGTATCAACTGAATTAGAGGATAAGAAAACAAAGGTGTTTTTTTGTTTTGTTTTGTTTTTGCAGAATAACTGCTAGAAATTATTTAGGAAAACAATCTCATGAATTTCAGGAAATCTCCATTTCTTCCTCTTCTCTATTTTGTAAAAATAAGCCAAAGTTGGTTAACACTTAAAAACAGTTATATCACACGTCATCTTTAATGACTGCTTAACACTTCTGGTAGGGGCTGGATTTCCTACCCATGGGCCACCAGACCCACAGGCAGCGTTTTCATGAGAAACCGTGGCCAATTAGCCAGGACCCAGGAAGCGGCCCTCGGGGGGGCAGCTCCGCAGGCTGGGCCGAAGAAGAAAGCGGCTGCTGCACGTGCCGGCCAGCAGGAGCGGGTGCAGAGCACAGCAAGGCATAACACGGACAGTGGGCACTCCGGTCTGTCCCTGGCGTGCCAGGCAGGACGTGCCCCACGCCGGGGCGTCCCCAGGCCCAGGTAGGACGGACCCCACGCCGGCCCGTCCCCATCCCCATCCCCAGGCAGGACGGACCCCACGCCGGCGCGTCCCCATCCCCATCCCTAGGCAGGACGGACCCCACGCCGGCGCGTCCCCAAACCCATCCCCAGGCAGGATGGACCCCACGCCGGCCCGTCCCCATCCCCAGGCAGGATGGACCCCACGCCGGCCCGTCCCCATCCCCAGGCAGGACGTGCCCCACGCCGGAGCGTCCCCAGGCCCAGGTAGGACGGACCCCACGCCGGCCCGTCCCCATCCCCAGGCAGGATGGACCCCACGCCGGCCGGTCCTCATCCTCAGGCAGGATGGACCCCACGCCGGCCGGTCCTCATCCCCAGGCAGGATGGACCCCACGCCGGCCCGTCCCCATCCCCAGGCAGGATGGACCCCACGCCGGCCCGTCCCCATCGCCATCCCCAGGCAGGACGTTGCCCAGGCCCCCGTCCGCCACAGCGGATCCCACGCGGCCCAGGCACCACGAGCAGCAAGCTCTTGGGGTGCTTCTGCCCCCGACGCTGGAAAGCGCCAGGCCGATGCGCAGCTGTGCCACTACGAACCGGAGAGCCCTGAGGGCGCCGCGGGGTCGGCGGGGAGAGCACACAAAACAGGCCCGGGGGTCCGGCCGCCACACTCACCAACACGGCCATTCACCATTCTGTTTGCGGAAACGCCGGGACTCGCCACGCCTGTCTTGTCCCGCGTCACTTCCGCAAGCGCGAGTTCAGTGGCGCCGCGCGGGCGGAGCGTCGAGCGGATCTGGAACTACAAGTCCCGTCGTGCCACGCGCGCGGCGTGCCCCGGGCGCGCGGAGAGGACACGGGCGCGGGCGCACGTTGCTGGTGGGCGCGGCGGGGCCGGGCGTCCGCGTGAGCCCCCGCGGCCTTGGCGCCGTGACCACCGCGCTCGTCCGTGGCCCTCGGCGGCGGGGCCCGGGCCGTCGCGCCGGAGGAGCTTCGTCCACGTCCTCAGAGGTAACCTGGGCCCGGGGGCGCATCCCCGCTGCCTGTCCGGCACGTGCGACCCCTCGTCGGCAGAGGTCACCCCGCCGGCCCGGAGAGGTCACCCGGGCCTGGCCGGTCGTGGCCAGCGTCCCGCGGGGTCATTGCTTGGGGACGGCGTGCGAGCTGCGCTGTTCACCTTTCACCCTTGGCGGGACGCGCTTCCGTGCAAGTGAGGGGGGCCAGGAGACACCGGAATTGTAAAACTGAGCGGAGCGGTGGACGCTGGCAGGTGGCCGAGCCTCCCTCCGGGGGCGGCGTGCTTGCTTGGGGGACAGCGGCAAGCCCGCGCTTGTGCTGCAGCGCACTTTGAGGGGTGCGTTGCTCGGCCTCGCTCGACTCCGGCCAGGGGTGGTCGTCGCGGCCAGGTGTCCCCCCGAAAGCCAGTATAGTGCACGGAAACTTTTTCCGGTGCTTTGAACCTGAGATTGGGGTCGAAAGCTAAAGCGTCCATGTGGATGGATAGATCATTGGCTCGTGTACAAATGAACTTGGCTCTGGCTCAGTGCCCTTTTCACCTTAGATTAAGGAAGTAATACCCCGGATCGTAATGAATGAACTTTTCAGAATTAGAAGTTTAGGATGATACACAACGCATAAAGTTGAAGTCTGTGCGTAGTTTTTAAATAATACGCATTTCCCATGAACTTTGAAGTGTTTTCATAGCTTCCAGTCCGATCACTTGGCAAGTGTAGGCATCAGCGCCTGTGAGATTGTTGACTGTTTCTAAACTTTGGACCAACAATGAGGCATCTTTTTAACAAGTGGAAACGAGCCATTGGTTTCACATAAACGTGCTTATGTTGTTATTGTTAATGTTTGGCTCATGGGTGGTATCGGTTCCAGGAGTTGTGAGAGGCACTGCTCACCAAATGCAAGCGCTAGCATGAGGCAATTAGATGATAAGCATTTGCTGATTCTGACCCTTCCATGTGCTGAGACGGGAACTGTGATGATTTGAGAGAAGGCTTTTTAAAAGTACTTATTTGAAAGGCAGAAGAGAGAGAGAGAATGAACTCTGAGCTTACACTGGCTCACTGCCCTAAATATCCAGGCCAGGCCAAAGTCAGGAGCCAGATGACCCAACCTGAGTCTCTAGATTGTGGGCAGGGAACCCGGAATGTAGACCCTTACCTTCTGGATCAAGTTGAGCTGGGACTCCAGGCTCAAATTGGATATGTGGGCATTCAGAGTATACTGGCATCTTAACCGGTGTGTTAAACACCTGTCTCAGGTTGTATAAAATGTTTCGTTAAATGAAAGGCTCTTCCCTTCATGCTTATGGAAACTTCAAAATGGGCTGAGTGGAGATTCCTTTTTTGAAGTGTTAGTACAACTTAAGCAGAAGTGAGCTTGGAGGAAGGACTCTTGAAAGAAATGTAGAGTGAGCGAGCCTGTGTTCGCTGTCCTGCAGCAGTGAACTTGGCGCCTGGAGCGGAGAATCACACACGTGGACTGACTGATGGTCAATAGCCCAAGTTGATTAGTGGCATCAGGCTTTTGTACGCTGAGGGTCTCATACGGTCAGTGAAGAGGTGTTGAGGAGCTTACCCAGAGCCCACCCAGAGCGATTGTTTCCACGCCCTGGTCTGAAAGTATCTCTCTTGTATATCCAATCAGTTGTTCCCATACAAATGATATCCAGTCAGTAGTTCTACAAGCCTGATAAAAGTGTCTTTACGTTCCTGTTGGAGGCGGACATTGTGGGGCAGAGGGTTAAGTTGGAGCTTACAGCCCTGGCCCCATCCTGCTCCTGGCTGGTGCTCCTGGGAAAGCGGCACCTGACTTGGGTTTCTGCCAGGCGTAGTGGGAGACCAGGAGGGGGAGTTCCTGGTGCCCAGCATAAGTCATTGTAACTCTAGGAGTGCACCAGCAGATGGAAGCGCCGTCTCTCCCTCTCTTTAACTCTGCCTTTGGGTTAAAAAAGTTACTGTGGGTGTTACTTTCCGCTATTATTGCCTGAATGGTCCCTGGTTTATGCTTTAATATTGATTACACATCAAGCTAAATGCTTCATAAATGTGCATTCATTTAGATATTACATGATCTGATGGGGTTTTTATGATGTTTTTTTCCAGATGATGATTAATTGGCCAAGGTCAGTGATAGAACCAGGGCCTGGGATCTTTTTAGTAATGAGACTGTGTCCACCGACACTCAGAACTGGAAGTTGCCTGCCATGTAAATATTCAAAAAGTGTTTCAGTGTTTCTTAGTGGGCGTCTAGTTATGTACAGAGAGATGGTAGCTGGGTTAGGATGTTGTGATGTTATTCAGTGACTGAGCCCAGATGCCTGACACATGTTAAGTACTTAGTGAATCCCCACAAAGTTGGTACTAATGCAGTTTTAAAATGGCACACAGGGGCTAGTGTTGGGCTTGTGTGTCTGCATCTTGTATCGCAGAGCTCGGGTTAAAGTCCAGGCTTTGCTCCTGATTACAGTGTGTCCCGTGTACACCCTGGGAGGCGGCAGGTGAAGGTCCAGGGGTCCTGCCTCCCGCAGGGGGACGCAGGGGGAACGCTGATACCTGGGTTGAGTTCTGGCTTTGGTGGAGCACAGCCAGCTCTTCAGTCTTTCTCTCCTCAGTCTCTCAAGTTATTTAACTATGTCTTTGTTTTGCTTTTTAAAATGTGAATATTTTCCGTGGGCATGTTGCTTTGATGTGGATACAGTGTTCCAGGTTCCTAAGAATGATGATCTGGGGAGGCAGGAAGGAGGCGGCTTATGGATGCTCCAAGTACATGGAGCCTCCAAGCAGGCTAGCCCTATGAAGTTTTACTGTCTTTTTAGAACAGGTAGGGCATTATTCTGTAGTTACAAATAAGATTTCGTTTAAAAAAAAAAATCTCTGAGTTTATTATGTTATAGTTAATTGGATGTAGTGGTTGTTCAAATATGATTCTAAGTGTTGCTGTGATGGTCTTATAAAATGAGTTGGAGATTGCCTCCAGTAGCAGTTTCTCTAAATCTAGATGTAGATATGGATATCGATGCTTACTTCTATATCTGTTCTATTGGTTTGGTATTCTCCCAAAAGCCTGACGGATTCAAATTTAGACACCAAGAGTGGTTGTAGAGGAATAGAATCTCGATGAATTTTCTGAGTTGGTCTTGTGGTTTGGGGATTCAGTTCTCTCATCTGGCTAAAGCACTACTGCTTACGGTGGAGAGCATGCGTACTCCTGCTCTCGTGCTTGTAAAAGGCAAACGTTTGAATGATCTTAGAACATATTCAGATTAATGAGATTGGATGGGTGCTCCTCCATGTGCTGGAAAAGTAACATGAGCCGCTCAGCTCCTTAGAATTTGGCTAAGAATTTCTATGTCTGCGCTAAAGAACCCTCTCCCAGCTGCATGGGTGGGGTTGCTGAAAAGCAGACCGGGAGTCTCAGCCTGTGAGTGGCAGAATTACAATGCTAATGAACATTCCCAGCCTCACTTGTATCAGTAGGGCATTGATTGGGGAGGAATGGGTCTACAAATTGCGAATGCAAACAGGGGAAGATCCTGGTGATGCTTGGGATGTGAAACCTCTGAGTTCTGCTGAATCCTCCCCTCCCGCGCCCCCCCCCCCCAGGAGATTTACTCTGCTTCGTCTGAACATTGTCAGGACTTCCCTTGAAATAGTTGCCTTACAAGACACTGAGGGTTCTCTTCAGATGGACCACTCCTCCTCCTTACTTCTTGAGCTGCAAAACCCAAGTTCAGCAGGTCCTGAGTGGTAAGATTTAAAGTGTGATCTCTGAGGAGAATCTTGGGTGGGAGTGGGGTCTGCATAACTTTTTTTCAGTTTATGCAGATAGAAGTTTGGGGGACTATGCCTGAGAACGGGTGTTAAAGGTGTGAGATAATCATTCATAGGACATGAAGCTAAAGCAGGTGAATCGATGATAGGGGCCCTTTAAGAAGGGTTTGTTCAGCACTATGACTTCAGGAGTTAGGGCTCTCTAACAGTCTGGTTGATTGAAACGGGCTAGCAGCTGGCCTGCACCAAGTGAGACTGAAATACCACAAGTGCCTTGGTTCACTGCCAAAGCAGAGAGCTGGAGGCTCAGGCAGGCTCGGAGGCTGGAGTGGATTTGTTATGGAGGTCACCATTCCCAGTCTGCAGGGGTGCAGGGAACAGACACAGCTGTCAGCACAACCAGGAGAAGCAGACATGTAAGGGAGCCCCACCTGCATGAACGGTGCTATGGTTCGAGAATCAGAGCTGGAGCTGGGAGGGCCAGATCGCTCCACTCACCACAGACTCTCCGGCAGGATACCACAGTGGAACGAGCCCTGTAGTCTGACTCGCACAGATCTGTCATGTTGGCTCACTGATCATGGTGTCCCTTGAAGAGAACTAGATGGACATTCTACTGAATTCTGATTTGATATGTCAAGTGAACAGAAATATAATCTCAATTACCAAAAAATGATGTCCCCCTAATGAATTCTTACAGATCCAGAACCTTTTGAATGAAGGGAAGCTGGGACCTTCCCCTTTAACAAAAGAAATATATATATATATATTTTTTTTCCTTTTAAAGGCAGAGTTAGAGAGAGAGATATCTTGCATTTGCAGGTTCACTCCCCAGAGGGCCAGACCAGGCCAGCACCAAGAGCTCAGGACTGCATCTGAATCTCCCACGTGGGTGCAGTGAGCCAGGCTCTTGGGCCATCTGGTGGTTTACTGCCCAGATGGCCACATTGGTGAGGTTGGAGCCAGGAGTCGGGGCCAGGGGCTTCCTCCCGAACTCCTGTAGAGCAACTGTGTCGCAAGTGCTTTAGCCATCCCCTACTGCTTTCCTGAGCATTAACAGGAGCTGGATTCTGTAAAGGGTGAAAAACAAAGAAGCCACTAAGTTCATTTTATCTTTCTTGTTGCATGTTCTAAGTAAACAGTTTTATAATGTCATTTCCCCTTTTGAAACTTCTGAGAATTCTTAAGTCATTTACAATTCTTGACCTTAAATAACTAGATTGTAAA